CTGGAAGAAAGGAGAAAAAGACTAGATGTCCTGTACCCCGTTGTCCTGTTCAAGGAGCCAGATAACACAGCCGATGGAGAAGACGTTAATAGTACATGCCTGCCTTGCAGTATATACTGCAGAGTGCATAAATGCAAAGCTCTGGTTATGTGCAGGATTGCCAAAAAAAAAAGGAGAGGAAGTGGAAGACTCAGAAAGAGCAATAAAAACCAAATGTGCCAATCAACCAGGGCATCTGATTATTATTGCCAATAAGCACAAAACAACCTATGAGGCCTTCCTACAAGTCACTCAGAGGGTTTTTAATACACTATTTCTACTAATTCAGTTAATTTAAATTAAATTATATGTTTGATCTTAATGTAAGTATTTAACCCATTCCACAGCAGCTACCTTCTTAGCCATTTGTGTTTGGAGGAGGTTGTACATTTGATCGGCAGAGCCTTGCCCACCTTGGGGCTGTTTTTTATGACTGTCACTTGTGGGTATTTCTGAATGCTGCTTCTGTCTGAGTAAGTGAAGCGTGCTGTATAAATGCGAGCTGTCCCCATAGACTGCAAGATCAGCAAACTCTGGAAAATTTATTTTGTCTTGTAGAGAAAAGTTGAGCAAGTCCCAGAATAGGGAAGGTACCTATGAAAAATGGCATGTTCTGTTTGGTACTAAGGGCAACTTTGTAGCCAGCTTGTTCTAGGAGCATCAGATCATACTTCTGTTAGACAGGAAGCAAAAATATTAGTTCCAGCAGACAAAATACCTAATGATTTGCCCCAATACCTCTTTGTGATAATATTACCTTTGTTATAGTACATGATTAAAAATAATTCAATTAGGGGTGGCAGATTCTCCTTACTGCATGAAAAACAGTCAGGGAACCAGAAGCCAATTTAGTTTAGTACCAGGATAGCAAGACCTCTGGGGTATATCAGGGGGACTGATGTCTCTGCAGCATGGGGGAATTCTCTGGTGGGGCAAAACTGCTGGGGCTGTGAGGGAGATTCCTACTCGCATCAGTAAAAGGACTAGCGTTAGGAAAGAGCATCCACATTCCCCTCCTGTTGCCAGTGACCACTCACCTGACATTGTCTGTAGAGCTGGTCGGATGCATCTACATCACCCAAATCTTGTCGCAGCAAGGATGTCTTACTGCCTGGCTCAAACCGCATTACAGAAAGCACTTTGTTATCCTGAGCCAAGTGACATCTCTGAGTATGACTTCACTGTGGCTTCTGTTACCCCATGGCAATGAATGCTCCAATTTCTGGGCATCCATCAAGTTAATGTCTGCAAATATGTTTAACTGATTTAAAGAATGAGATGCTGTTTGGTTTTAACTATTAATTTGAAGATAAAACTCTGCTGCTTGTTAAAAACTGAATAAGCAAGGATTCATTTCCCAGTATGAAGCAATTGCCTCCCTTTCCAGAAGAAAATATGGAAAGGTTGTGGCACTGATACTTCACGTTTAAAATGAAAATGAGTCCTATATTGCAGATTGTTGATTTTTCGTAGCCTTTTTGCATTGATAACTATTATTTCAATCATGAAATAAAGTATTGAGTACTTCAGTTATAGAATCATAGAAT